AATGTAAGAAAGCGCTTTCCACACTGTGGAAAACAATGGTGGAGAGACTGTGGCACAGCTGTGAAGAGACTCTGGCAAGGTGTAACCAGAGAAACTCTGGAGATGGAGCCACAGTTAAAGTCTTTGCTTGCTGGATGACTAAAGGAAAAGCTGGCTTGTAACTTCTCTGAGATAAAATTTGCTGGATGACTGAGGAAATCATAAGCTCCTTGCATTTTTGCTGTTGAACCGAACCTGGACTTTCACTGAAGAACTGTGTCCTGTTAATCTGGCTTGAGACTGCTGGACTAAATCTGGACTTGCACTGTGTGATATTCCTTGCCTCTCCCAACTCCCCAACCTCTTTCCCTAATAAACCTCCAACTGTGAGTAAAGTCTGTGAGTCAATTTGCAATGAACATTAAAGCCAATGATTCACAGCTAGGCACAGGAGCATGTGGAGTAGCATGTGTGACCATGCAGCTATTCGTATGATACTATGGATATTATTGGTGATGACAGTTCCCCTTATGAAGTGGGCAAAAGTCAGAGTCAGCCATCCCCATGTTTCAACTGCTCCTTTCACACATGGCAATGATAGAGAGGATGACCCAGGCAAGGTTTTCTTCTATAGTGTGTGGGGTCCTTGTGAGTGGAAAGTGACTGGGTGATGCCTAAAAAACCCAAGGAGATGAAAAAAGAAACCCTAAGACCAGTAGATAGCATCAAGGTGCCCACTGAGGAGAACAGGTCAGTCTTGGAAATTTTTACAGTCCATTCTGGCTACTTTTAACAATTAGAAAAATAATTTAAAAGTCACATCTGCAATGGTATGCTTCCAAAATGTGACCACAGCTGTGCATAATTCAAAGCGATGTGTGTGAGTGATTATATAAGAATGAATTAATTTCTTTTTTCTGGACAATGGACTAAAGGTTCCTGCCTTTATTTCTGCAACACTTTTTCAATTTCCAAATCTTCCCATGATGAGTGAGGCTTGCTTTTCTGTCAGCTTAATTACATTTTCTCCACATAAGAAAACACTTGTAAAGCTCACATTAGCATGAGAATGAAGCTCACAGTCCTGGGAGCTGACAGTGGGTTTGGTTCTGTGGTTCCAGGAGGGTAAGCCAGTGATTTCCTCCTCTGCAGTGTGGCCAGGATGACCCCCAACCCCCTTCCCAGGTATGTTCTCAGAATTAAATGATGCATCACATTTGGCCCTTGCAGCTCTGGTGGTGCAGTTGCAAAGCATGGGGCTATTTACTGAAAAGTTAAGGGTTTGAATCCACTCTGCAGCTCTACATAAAAGAAAAAAAAAGACCTGGCAATCTGCCTCAGTAAAGATTACAGCTCTATAGGGGGCTCTAAGTGGTGCAGCAGGTTAAGTACTGGACTGTTAAACCAAAAGGTCGGCATTTCAAATCCCCAGGTCATCTTTGGGAGACAAGTGAGCATGGTGTGATCCCATAAAGATGCACAGACTCAGAAACTGGTGGAGGGGTCTCTGGGAGTCAAAACTGACCAGATGGCAATGGTTTTTTGGGGAGTGTTTAGGGACCCTACAGAGGAGTAGCTTAGGTAGCTCTGATGGTTTAGTGGTAAGAAGCTGCATTGCAAATCCAAAGGTATGTGGTTCAAAACCACCAGCAGCTCTGTAGTGAAAAGATGGGCAATACCCTTCTGTTTGATTTACTGCTTCTGAAAACCCACTGGAGGGTCAGCTATGGGTTGGTTCCAACTCTGGGGTACACAACTATTATGGAGGGGCTGGACAAGGAGTGAGGCTTCATCCAAGGCTGCTAGGCAAGCTCATCATTTGTGATTAATCAGGGGACTAGGCTTCAGAGTCCTGGTGGACAGTAGTTAAATGTCCAGCTACTAACGGAAAGGTTGGGAGTTCTAAACTTCCAGCTTCTTCATGAGAGAAAGATGGGACAGGCTGCTCTGTAAACATTACACCCTTGGAAACTCTACGGGCCAGTTCTGCTCTGTCTCACAGGGTTGCTGAAGTTGGAACCCACTTGACAGCAGTGGGTTGGGTTTTGTTTTTGTGGCTGCTGAGTTCTCCTCCCCTTGGGGAGATCGCCCAACAAACAAGGTAAACAAAAACTTACTTGTGGTCTGCATTCGACAATCTCAAACGTGGTTGGCTGGGAGACGAGTGAGCTGAGGCTGAGAGACACGCAGAACCTCTGACGTGGTGAAGACATCAGAGGCATGAGTGAGCACAGGCAAGCCCTGCTTACCTCGCTGGCCGGGTGCTCCAATGCTGCCCACAGATGCTGACCCGCAGACTCTACCAGGCACCATGGAGGGGTCACTTCTGGCCTGTGCTGCTGGAGTTGGTCCCCTGGTGCACACTGTTCTCCTGCCGCCGACGCTGGCAGACCGCTCCCATCCAAGCAAGGAAAACAGCCCCCAAACCAGGACTGTTTTAATCTTCGTCCATTTTCACTGTCACTAGGTCCCATGACAGGCCTTTTCCCTACAAGAAGTTCTGGAATATTCTACAACAAAGGGTTCCCACTTTCCCCCCAACCCCAAGGTGAGATCTCATGCCCCCAGAGCTGAGGTTATTGAGGGTGAGAGATCCAGGAGGGGTTCTATCTTTGCTGGACGCATCCCACCAGACTGTGCTTACCCTGTGGAGTGGTGAGGAGGGTCAGGGATAGAGTACATCCATCTGCCTTTACCCTGTGGTGGTGGTGGTGGTGGTGGTGGGGTGAGGCTATGTCTCATTTGACTCCATTTATCTCATGATGGAATGGGGAGGGGTAGGACAGGGTTAGATTCTTCTGGTTGCCCTTTCCCTGGAGTGGTGAAGGTTAGGGTTAGATGATGTCCCACCTGTCTTCATCCTACAGTGGTAGTGGTGGGGAGGGTCACCTAGTAGTTGGGGTTGGGGTTGATGTCATCTGATTGGGATCCCACCTGACTGTCCTTAGTCTGTGGTGTTAGTGGTGAGGGTTAGGAGCATGTCCTGTCTGAATGTCTGTATGCTCTGATGCTGCTGCTGTGAGGTTAGGGTTAGCTACTTACCCCCCACTCCCACTATTTGCACCCTACAGAGGCCTGCTGGCTTAGTGTATAAGGTATCAGTCTGCTAACCGAAGGTCAGAAATTCTAATCCACAGGGTGCTGTGAGGAAGAAAGATGGACAGTTTCCTCCTGTAAAGGTTTACACTCCCAGGAACGCGATGCAAGGTTGCCATGGGTTAAAATCAGCTTGATGGAAAGGAGTATGATTATTCTACGGTGGTGGACGTGAGGGTTGGGGTAGAGTTGTCATTAATCTATGTTGAGTGTATTGGTGGTGGTGATGATGATAGTAATGATGGTGGTGATGATGGCGATGGTGATTCTGATGGTGGTGTGGTGGTGATGACGGTGGTGGTGATGGTGTCATAGTGGTGGTGTGGTGATGATGACAATGGTGGTGATGATGGTAGTGGTAGTGATGATGGTGGTGGTGATGGTGGTGATGGTGGTGATAATGGTGATATGATGGTGGTGGTGATAGCAGTGATGGTGGTGATAGTGAAGGTGATGGTGGTGGTGGTGATAGCAGTGATGGTGGTGATAGTGAAGGTGATGGTG